ATTAAAATATTTATTAATAACATTTTGCCCATCAATTATTAAAAATTGATTTTACATAGCTATTTTCTTTTTTAATATAAGAAAGAACCAACGCTACTTATTGTTGCAATCAATCTTTATAAAATTTTTATCATATAAAATAATAAAAAAATAAACATTTCGTCCTTTAAATTAGGTCATCCTCAGTATTTAAAATTACAGTTAAATTGCATATTAAACATAACATTGAAAGTAGCATCTAATAATTAGCGTCCTTATTCAATATATGATTAAATTTTGTTCCTTACGTTTCGATGGCGTGTCAATTTGTATATTTTGTTATTATTTTATATAAGAATTTTATAAACATTGATCCCAACAATAATTAGTTATGCTTCTTTCTTATATTATGATTGATTTATTCATAGTGCTTTGTTATTTTATCTTTTTGAATTATTTTATCTTTTCTTATTTTATCTTTTTGAATTATTTATAAATTATTTTATATGTATATATATATTTACTGTGACATAGTACTTATATATTTTAATTATGTATCTAACACGAGACGACTGCGTGAATCACAGATAATATCAGTAACAATCAACGGATCAATTTCAAATCAAATTTACTACCTTTAACCTCTAACCATAATCATCGTGGATCTGTCGAAGACATTTTAACTTTCCTAAACTTATCGAGAAATATGTATGAAGGAAGAGATTTGATTGGTTCAATACTACAGCGATGGAGTTATATCAATTCGAATATAGTCCTTTCGATAACGACGTCGGTATCGTATCTTGCACCGACATCGCATCGCTATCCTGAGTTACAGAATAGCTTTTTCGTTGTACCATCGTTAGCGCAACCGAAAATTGTCGCTTCATAACGACAACGACATTATCGTTAGGAAGTTACAGAATAGGTTCAGTTTTGTGGAGGAAAGCAACATTCCCAGCAAAACCAAATCGACATTAAAACCTACAAACCCGCTCCCACAAAGACTGTACGGACTACCAAAGGTACACAAACCGGACATCCTCTTCAGACCGATTGTAAGCCCCATACGCTCCCCGACGTACAGCCTATCCCGCTTCCTAGCACAAACATTACAACCCCTCACTGGAAAAACTGAATCACACATCACTAACTCGACGGACTTCATAAGAAAGATCCAAAAGATCCAACTACATCCCACAGACCTGCTTGTAAGTTTCGACGTAGAATCCCTCTTCACAC